ATTACTGGAGAGGCTCACAATGGTAAGCAAACACACAAGACCAGATGAAACAGAAAGTGATGAACAGAAAAAAAAACAAACCAATGCACCGTTTACCCAACAGCTGGTGGATCCCGGCCGGTTTAACTGCTGTAGTGCATTTTCCAAAATGTTTTGCAGGAGTCCAGGGCCTGTACTATGAAGCGGGCTCAACCTGTTATTTCTCCTGTGCGTCCGCATGAAAGGGGTGGCGATAATGTCTGACCAGTCTAAAAGGGAGGTTTCATGGGTCGAGTGACACCTGATGAATACAGTTAAGACACGCAGTGCTACTGTGAGCTATAAATTGCACAAAAAATGCCAGATGTAGCAAAATGATACATATTAAAACTCAAATATGCACTTAACTAATAACACTTAAAAAAAAAAATCAGAATGTTCAATAAACACTCCAGTTTCCAAATAATTAGGATATTCTGGCAATTATTTCAGACATCAGGCTTTACAGGGTTATTGATTAGACAGGTATTCTTGATTTGTGTTCTGTGCTCTATGGCTGCAACTCCACCAGTGTAAGATGACTTAAAATTAGAATAAAGTACAACAAGATTTTACACATTTTCGAAATGGGTAAAACACTTAAACATACTTACGACATGCTGTAAAGGCATCAATGAAAATGTGGCACAAAACCTTAGACCCTTCTTCTAGCAGCACACGTTGATAGTAGAAGCTGCTATTATCTGAGGACTTGATTGATCAGTGGATAGTGACTTTATACATGTTGATCTCCACCTTTGTGGTGCAGAAAACCCAGGATTAACCCTGAAGATACCTGGATAAGATGAAATCCTGCTTTGTAGTACAGGCCTCAGCCCTGTTGTTTCTGTCTTCAGGAACTAAAATCTAAACCCTGGCTTCAGGCTCCCCACCCAGGTCTTTGTACTGTGTAAAATATGTTTTAACACAGCAGGTTACTGAACAACTGTATTTACACTTTTCTCCCTGCTCCCTTCTTCACCTTGAGATGTCAGAAGGATGATGTGTCAGCGGTGTCTTTTTTTTTTTTTTTCTTTTCTTGTATTTAGCTTCATGTTCACAAGGCACATGTCACTGGTTTAATTGATCTCCACAGGGGACTGTGGTTACAGTAAAAGGTAAACAGCCAAGTGGAATCTGCATTTAGGAAGTGGTCTGTGGATAAATACCTTTCAGTTTAAATCTGTCTGTGATAGGCTGGTAGAATGAAGGGTTGAGTGTGAATTGTTGAATCTAGGATAATTGGACAGCTCCCTGATTGTGGTGACTTATCTTATTGGCTAAAGTAGGTGAAACTTAC